GTCGAGTTATGGTCGTATCTTCTATTACGGATGAATAAGCAACAGCACCTGTCAAGGTAAGGTGGTTACCGAGGTGCGCCTAATGCTTAGAAGATTCTCGATGAGGCTTACGTCGACGTCGTCGTCGCCGTCGTCGCCGGAGCCGTCGCCGTCGTCGTCGTCGCCGTTGTTTCCGCCGTCGCTGATATTGTTATCGCTACACCTACCATCTTCACCGCCGCTGTTATCGTCTTCGTCGTCGCCGTTACTGCTATCAACTCAACTGTCATCGACGCCGTCACCGTTGTCATCGTCCCGTTCTCCATTGCTACTGTCATCGACGTTGTTGTCGTTACAGCAGCCGTTATTATCGTTATTTTCATCGTGGTTAGCAACGTGCCCATGCTTGTTATTGTTGTCACTAGCATAACTAGTCTGCATTGCTTGCTATTGTACTAGTACGCCTGTACTAGGAGATAATATTATTTCTGCACGAGTTGGCTTGTAATATCTCTCAGGCAGTATGGCAAGTACAAAGACAACAGGCAGTGTCCTGCAATTTAGGCCTGTTGAGGTGTCTCAGCGGTTACAAAATGGAGATAAATTTCTCAAATGGGACGAGGTGAGAGTAAAACAATGTTAAAAAAATTTAAGCAACGAGTTAACTTGTATGTATTATATTGTTTGCTTTATACCTGTGTAGGACTCTGGTATAGCGACTCTTGTGAATTTAAAGGTAGACAAATTTGGATTTTATCTACATTGGATAGATCAGAACAATGAGATGGACATGTTGGATATCGCTATAATAAGAGATACCCGCACTGGAAAATATGCTAAAGTACCAAAGGTAGCAAATTGCAACTTTTTAGATATAAATTGAAAATTAAAAATCAAATGATTTTATTAATTTAATATATTGATATATAATAGAAATTAAATTGTCTTGTCTTAACTTGTCTTTTTATAATTATATCGTGCTTTTGCATGGATGCTAATGATGCATAACACCAACACATGATAATTATTGACAAATCTATAAATAGAATATTACCTACTTTATGTCCTCAATGTAGTTCATTTTTTTCAGTCACATCTATCTTTATACACAGTGGAAATAATCGTAGTTATAGAGGAAGGAGATCAATTCTTATCTGTTCTATTTTCCTATAAATCAATAAACAGTATATAAAGTGGCTTTGTTTGTAGTTTCAACATGTATTAGTAGCTTATTGTAAAATAAGCCATTGTTTTGATTACAATGCGTATGATCTGATTATATGCAAAGAAACTTTGTTAGAGTTGCTATATTCAAAGTTTATGGCAATTCATATTAGATCTGTTTATTTAATCAATAAAATGGTTTTCAGGATTCTAAATTGAAATCTTTTATGACAATGGGGTCTCAAGATTCGATAGAGGATAGGACAATGACAATTTGTTATGGATCTGATTTTGTCAACATGAATTTTATTAACTTTTGTACAACACATGCAGAAATAGCACAACATTGGACAGAGCAAATCTTTCAGCTTGCATATAATTTAACTTTACTCAACACTAGTACGACTATGTTTTTGCAGAAAGCACATACCAAGCTTACACTTACAGCCGATAAATCAGGAAAAATTCCTGTGAAGAAGTGAGCATAATATTTTGTGTATATATGTATATATATATAAATATATATATTTTATGTATTGTCATTTCAGCATAGTAAGAATGTTTGCACAAAATAAAGATGACCGTAAGCGTGTTGAAAAAGCACTCGATATATCGGGTTTTCCATCGGGAAAAGTAAGTGACATATTGTAGGTTCAGTTATTTCTTAACATTCATAAAAATTTCAATATATTTTATTTCTAGAATGACGTGATATCGTTACAAAAATTTCAATTCGAAGATTTCTTCAACTTTTATAAGTCTCTTACTCAGCGATCGGACGTTGAAAAAGTTTTTGAGAACATCGTAGGCAATAATAAACGTAGAGTAATGTCCGTTACTCAATTTGTTGACTTTTTGAACAAAACACAAAGAGATCCGCGTTTGAATGAAATATTATATCCATATGCAAATGCGGCGAGAGCAAAAGACATTATAAGTCAATATGAACCAAATAAATGTAATGCCAATCGGGACCAGTTAAGTTTCGATGGATTCTTGAGGTATCTGATGAGCGAGGATAATCCAATCGTTGCTGTATCGAAACTTGAATTGTCGGATGATATGGAACAACCGCTTGCGCATTACTTTATAAATTCTAGTCACAATACATACTTAACAGGTACATAATAATACATATTTTTAAATTATAACTGATCGTATAAGCGTACCGTAATAATTATTAAATATTTTGTTTTAAATTTTTGTAGGACATCAACTTACCGGGAAAAGTTCCGTAGAAATATATCGTCAATGTTTGCTTGCTGGTTGTCGATGCGTGGAATTGGACTTCTGGAATGGAAAATTTGATGAACCTGTCATTGTCCATGGGTATGGTTATTTTTCAATTATTTAATTTGATTACTTTATATTTTGAAACGGAATTAAAAATATTTTTCTGTCTAGATATACATTTGTACCTGAAATTTATGCACGAGATGTGATTGAAGCAATTGCTGAAAGTGCTTTCAAAACTTCAGAATATCCTGTTATTCTTAGCTTTGAAAATCATTGTAATCCAAGGCAGCAAGCTAAGATAGCTCAGTATTGTAGAGAATTATTTGGAGAAATGTTGCTTGATGCTCCTCTTGAATCTCACAAGGTATTTTTCACACGATTATAGCTCGCATTATTTTGTTCTATAGTTCATGACTTTAGATGCACTTACATTTGAATTAGTTGGAACCCGGTCAAGAATTGCCACCTCCATCTCTATTGAAACGTAAGATTATAATAAAAAATAAGAAAAAGCATCATCATCATCATAAAAAACATAAGAAGAAGCAGCAGACACCAGTAACGGAGTTTGAAGAAGGAGCTCAAGAGAACGAGGATAGTGAGACAACAAATCAGACTGCTGATGGAGAAAATGGTCCACCACCGGATATTGTTCCTCAAGCTGATGCAGGTGATAACGATCAGCAGATAGGGAACGGAGATATTTCGCATCCTCCGATGTTGCAGCAAAGACAAGGCAGCAAAGATAGTGCTCAAGACGAAGATGGTTAGCGTGTACAGAAAAAAATTGAAAAAAAAAAGAAAGATGACAACATTAATTTCAACTTAAAATGTTTATTATTTCAGACGAAGAAGAAGAATCGAGTACAGAAGAGGATGAATCAAACGTGGAAGATATTAAGTTAAGGATGGAGGACAAAGTGCCTGCACCTGACAAAGTGGCGTCTAGCGCTAAAGAAACGGAAGCCGGAGCAGAAATTTCAGCCTTAGTTAATTATGTACAACCTGTTCATTTTAATAGTTTCGAATCAGCTGAGAGTACGTTCACGTGTATAATGCTGTTAATTATTAAATTTGCTTTTTTTTATTTACACTGAATTATTCGTGTAAATTGTTATAGAAAAAAACCGTATGTACGAAATGTCGTCATTCGATGAAAAACAAGCTACAACTTTATTAAAGGAACGACCACTTGAATTTGTGAATTATAATAAGCATCAACTATCAAGAGTATATCCAGCAGGCACGCGTTTTGACTCTAGTAATTTTATGCCTCAAGTATTTTGGAATGCTGGTTGTCAATTAGTTGCATTAAACTATCAAACGCTTGGTATGTGTATTTATTATTGATTGTAAAGGTATGACTTATCTTGTATCACAACTTTTTCTAACTTATTCTCCTTTGTTAATTAGATCTAGCAATGCAATTGAATCTAGGTATCTTTGAATACAATCAACGTTGTGGTTATCTTTTGAAACCGGAATTCATGAGGCGAAAGGATCGTCGATTAGACCCTTTTGCAGAATCAACCGTGGATGGTATTATAGCGGGAACAGTTCACATACATGTAATATCGGCTCAGTTTTTAACAGATAAAAGAGTGGGTACTTACGTTGAAGTAGATATGTATGGTTTACCTGCAGACACAGTAAGAAAGAAATTTCGTACGAAAATTGTTCCAAATAATGGAATCAACCCTGTATATGATGAAGAACCTTTTATCTTCAAAAAGGTGAAAATTAATTTTAATTTTTTTTTACTCAATTGTATGTACTTATTTATAGAAGAATATTATTTGTATCTGTTAGGTGGTGTTACCTGAACTTGCCTCGATTAGAATTGCAGCATATGAGGAGTCAGGCCGTTTAATAGGTCACAGGGTATTGCCTGTAGTTGGATTATGTCCTGGATATCGACACGTTGCTCTCAGAACCGAATGCGGGCAACCATTGCCTTTAGCAAGTTTATTTCTACACGTTATCGTGAAAGATTATGTTCCGGATGGACTGAGCGAGCTTGCAGAGGCTTTGGCAAATCCGATTAAGTACCAAAGTGAAGTAGAGAAGAGGGAAAAGCAATTGTCAGTTCTTACAGACTGCTTGGAAGCTCCGTCCGAGGAAGTTGATGTAAGGTTTGAAAGGTTGAACAGTTCTTTACTTACTAACTTAATAATAAATTAATACGCGCGTACTAACATTTTATAGGATAAACCGAAAGTTGGTGAAGGAGCAAGTTCTTCTAAGCCAGCTGTAAGTTTGTGGATTAGAAAATGTTAACGTTAACTGATTTCTACTTATAGTTCAATATGTTGTTTCAGGAGGAAAGTGTTAAAACGAAAAGACTACAATCTGTGGGCGAACTACCGACACCTGTTCCAACGACTGGCAGTGTTCATGGTAGGCCATCTATTGCTGCTACAAACACATCTGATACGTTAGAGGCTGAAGAAGGAATTCCTGCTCCTCCGGTTCAAGTTGTTGAAGCTTCCACGAACAAAAGTCCAATTAATGTCAGCGGCAGTACGTATCAATGTATTATTTTATGTTGTATTTTAACTGATATTCATAATTTTTTATTTTTATATTCTAGTGAGCGATGAAATAGTAGCTGAATCCTTAGAAAAATTAATGGAGAATAAATTAGTTAGAGAAAAGAAAATGGAGTTGGAGAAAAAGCTTGAATCGTTACGAAAGAAACATGAAAAAGAAAAATTAAGAGTGCAGTCGCAAAAGGGATCCGTGGACGGTGAAAAGCACAAATCGAAATTTTATGTTAGCCATAAATTAGTAAAACGGTTATCAAGCAGAAACATGTGAGTTATAGCCTGTTATCATAAAAATTTCATTCATGAACAAGTTTAAATAGATGTTAATACATCTATTTCTTTTGTAGCTTTTCTAGCGAAGTAGGATTGAGTTCATTGGCTGAGACGTCAGAGTGTACGGATTTAGAAAATCGTGAAGGAAATGGTGGAGCTCCAAAAGGATTACCCAGAAGTCAGAGTGAACGTTTTCTGGCTGTGTGCAAAGCTCACGTTCAACAGGAACGCGAACTTCAAGAAAAGTATTACGAAAGTCTATTTACGACCGTAGAGAAAGTAATGAAAAACTCTCAGTCTAACCAATTGAAAACATTGAGAGTATTACTAGAACGAGAAACTGCCGATGTTATGAGAAAACTCCAAGCTACAAGGCACGGAGAGGTATGATTTTGTCTCTGTCTTATATCCTAGAAATCCCTTTCGTAAACTTTTCTTAGCCCCTCCTTACATTATTTCTACATACGGGTTTTCAGATTCTAATGTCACTTGTGTTCGATATTAACTTTAGGTAAAACAGTTAGCAAAGGTACATAAAGATAAAGCGGAACTGGATCGTATGAAGAGGGAAGTAGCGAAGTCGACTGTCGAGAAGGGTGTGAACGAGTGTACTCGATTAACGAAGATTTATGAGAAAAGAAGGGCAGAGTTGGAACGGCAACACGAAGAAGTTCGACAAAGACTCGAAGAAGAAAGGGCTAAAGTATACATCTATCAAGCCCTTTTACTTTATTTGTATCGATTTGTTTGTATAGAGAATCAACTATTAATTTTATTTCAGGTAAAAGCTACACTAATGGCGGAGTACAGTAGTCGTTGTAGTAAATTTGAAAGCGGAGAGCTGCCATTATCTCCATCTGGCGGAACTAGTATGCCGGAATCACTTAGTGGGAATATGTATTGACTGAAACGATGGATGGTATCTTGATTTTAACTTGACACGGTTTGGAAAAATTTGCAAACCTATGGTAGTTTTGCCGAAAGTTTAATCCGGTTCGGGACGACAGCAACAACCGGTTTTACTTCTACGAAAGATAAGATTGGTAGCGTATACTGTAACGATAACGATAGAGAATTCGTGAGATCTACGCAGTTACCTGTGTTTTGCTAAAATAATTTTATCCACTTCCGAAAAAGTCTTTTTTGCAAAGTGTACAGCATTTACCAGAGAACGTATGATTTAGACAACAGTGTGAAATTTTAAACTAATTCTTCGGGGATGGTTCGATTACGCAAATCTCGCGTACAAGAAATTTTTGTTTCTTCAACGTTCACGATTTAATCATGTACATGCCAGCACGAAAGGTTCGTTGTTGATTAACTTGTCAAGAGGCGATTTTCCATTTTGTTCCATTGAAAAATTTTTGCTTTGTTTTTATTTTTCGAAAGATCAGCAACGAGCGTCGATCGATCCTCTGATCGACGCCATTTTGATCTCAGCGCAAATAAGTATCATTGACCGTTGTGTTCGACGAGATAAAGAAGCGAATTCTATGTTTCCTTCGATTCGATATTACTTACGCACAGTATTAAACGCACTGTTTCTCATTATACTCGAGAACATCGCCGCCCAATGTCGGGACTTTCTTCCATTTTTCGAATCGACGAAACTTCTGGGAATGTAACGAAAGCAAAGAACGAGATCACGTAGAAGAGGTACATGATTCTAAATAAGGAATAACGTTTCTAAGTGCTACTATTTAATCTTGTTATTATATGTATAAGGCGTTATTTAATTAGAAAAGATCGATGCTAAGTCGCGTTCCGGAAATATCGAATCGCTCGATCGTCAAAATGGTCGTCGACGATTTAGCGAAAGGGAAAAAATGAAAAAATGTACACAAACGAGGATGGAATCTCTTTGGCCTAGCGGTGTAAGGGACGCGGCGAGGTTTTAAGATTCGGATGGGCGTCTGCGTGATTTGATATATTTTTGACTGAAAGTATTCCGTATAAAGACAATTTTTTGGGTAGCCCATATTCTGAACGCTAAAAGAACATGATCGGTATTGTATAATGAAAGTCAACCAAAAAAATTTCAAAAAAAAGAAAGAGAATCGAAGAAGAGAAGAGGCGAGTAAATATTAGAAAAAAGGGAACGTTTCCAGCGTTTTTGTACCGTGCGATTTCACACTGCGGCCGTTTCGTGGCTAAAGGCGAGGATATAAAAAAACGATTTGGGGCGAACCTCTTTTAGGAAGACAATCAAAAATGTTACGTTGTAACATTGTCCTTGTTGTTTCTAATCGTACGATATTTTAAGTAATTCGATATTATGCGCATATATTATGTATAGATATATATATATAAATATATATATATATATACACGTATACATATTCATATAATTCTTAATAGCTATTACAAAATTTAGGATTAAAAGTTACGCGCGTTCACGCATTGTAAATTTCTCGTGTGATCCATCCTGTTATTTATCTCGTATATAAGATCGCGAGCTTTTGCAAAAAAAGGAAGAAAATTATCACTATTTAACACGCAACAATATGTAACATGTGTATATATGTATACGTGCACGCACACGACATACATACATTGGCGTTTATGCGTTTCACCACACGCGCAATTAGAGCGTGCTCGTTATCGATGCGAAAGAGAAAAGGGACACCTTTGCTATTATATATACGTACGTGTAACACTTGTGTCGTAGTTTATGTTGCGTCGAGATGTTACCTACGGATCAATTCCCTTCGATTTGGAGACTGAAGTTGATATTGAATCGTCTGTAGTAGAACTCTATTTATTTGAACGCGTAAAGGGAGCAAGAGAGTTCAGATATACATGTACAGTAGTAGATTTTCGATATATTGCCACTAATGGAACTGTAGGGGCAGAAAGTTTTTGGAGCTGACAATGTATTGGTAATGGTAAAAAGTTTATTTTCGAATCTTGTTTTTTTTCGTAGTCATGATTTAATCGTTGTTTACAGTTTTTATTCGATATGCTTGAAATTTCATAAAATTAAGGTATTAGACTTTTAACCCCTTAGGTAAAATGGGTATAAACATAAAATTACTACTTTGTTCTACGTGTTAATTAAAGTGTTCCTATAATAGGAATATCATGTTCGACAATAGCTTTGATAATAAGAATGCAGCAGTAATTTTTGAGGAAACCCAAACTCAATAAGAGGAGTGGTGAAAATATAGCGTTCCTATCTTTCGCAAACTTGTGCGGTACATTCAGTTAATTTGATATTCGATCAAATTTCATTCAATTAAATGGAGTTCTACTGTGCGCGTGACATAGTTTTACCATCGACACTTTAGTTGGTTTATGATGTATTTTCTTTACGTGATCGGCATACCCATATCTAGTGAGGGTAAGAGTGAAAATAGCGATGACATTCGGTTGGTGGTAACAAAGTGGATAAGGTAGTTGACTGCGAAGACAACAATGTTTAGCGCATCAGTCTTTATTTCCTTTAAATTTGCGCATTACTATGGATATTACAAAATTTAGGATTAAAAGTTACGCGCGTTCACGCATTGTAAATTTCTCGTGTGATCCATCCTGTTATTTATCTCGTATATAAGATCGCGAGCTTTTGCAAAAAAAGGAAGAAAATTATCACTATTTAACACGCAACAATATGTAACATGTGTATATATGTATACGTGCACGCACACGACATACATACATTGGCGTTTATGCGTTTCACCACACGCGCAATTAGAGCGTGCTCGTTATCGATGCGAAAGAGAAAAGGGACACCTTTGCTATTATATATACGTACGTGTAACACTTGTGTCGTAGTTTATGTTGCGTCGAGATGTTACCTACGGATCAATTCCCTTCGATTTGGAGACTGAAGTTGATATTGAATCGTCTGTAGTAGAACTCTATTTATTTGAACGCGTAAAGGGAGCAAGAGAGTTCAGATATACATGTACAGTAGTAGATTTTCGATATATTGCCACTAATGGAACTGTAGGGGCAGAAAGTTTTTGGAGCTGACAATGTATTGGTAATGGTAAAAAGTTTATTTTCGAATCTTGTTTTTTTTCGTAGTCATGATTTAATCGTTGTTTACAGTTTTTATTCGATATGCTTGAAATTTCATAAAATTAAGGTATTAGACTTTTAACCCCTTAGGTAAAATGGGTATAAACATAAAATTACTACTTTGTTCTACGTGTTAATTAAAGTGTTCCTATAATAGGAATATCATGTTCGACAATAGCTTTGATAATAAGAATGCAGCAGTAATTTTTGAGGAAACCCAAACTCAATAAGAGGAGTGGTGAAAATATAGCGTTCCTATCTTTCGCAAACTTGTGCGGTACATTCAGTTAATTTGATATTCGATCAAATTTCATTCAATTAAATGGAGTTCTACTGTGCGCGTGACATAGTTTTACCATCGACACTTTAGTTGGTTTATGATGTATTTTCTTTACGTGATCGGCATACCCATATCTAGTGAGGGTAAGAGTGAAAATAGCGATGACATTCGGTTGGTGGTAACAAAGTGGATAAGGTAGTTGACTGCGAAGACAACAATGTTTAGCGCATCAGTCTTTATTTCCTTTAAATTTGCGCATTACTATGGAACGGAGATCTTAATCTAACAAAAAATAGTCGCGGAAATAGGAATGCTAGGTGTCGTAATCGGTAAAACAGTCAACTACGAATGCAAGGAATCTCAGAATCGATTGTTGAGCGTCGAGTCCCCATTTTCTGTAGATCGTTCCATTATATTACAGCGTTTACGAGTGTCGCGAGTATTCCGCCTGGGCTGGTCCACGGGTTCGACTATACGACGAGCTTGGGCGCGTTAGTAATTTGCTGGCATTTAGGCTCGTTTCGTTTTAAACCGTTTTCGTCGCGTAAAACACTAAACGATCGCAGCTTGAGACTCAAACGTTCGCCTTGTTACGCAGTTATACGTTATCTCACGCTCGTTTCTGGAATTTTTATTTTCCCTTCTCGGAGAAGGTACGTTGCCGTTGAAATATTCTACGAGACCCTGTTACCGGCTTGTTTTACGAGTCATCGGTGCAACAAGCGATATCGGTTGTAGTTTATTCCGTTTCTGAACACAGAATTCTTTTCTCGACAGTTTCTTAACTCTTGTGTAGGTAAACGGCTTATCGGAGTATCCGTTTCTATATTTCCTCCTAGTAGTTTTGTAAATTTTTGTAAGAATATTGCGAAATTATTTTGAATCTCTATGCTTTGGATAGTTTTGTGTCGGTTGAGGTGTTCGGAGTAAGAATTTTAAGCTAATAGGGGTTAGTTGCAATATATTTGAAACCAACAGAAAAGAAATATTTGAAACGTCTAATTGGTATTATTATTATTTACATAGTGATATAAAGAGAAACTGCGGCGGAATGTGCAGCCTCGTAGTTTCTTACACGTGATATTAAGGTTTTACGTAATTCGTAACAAATAACAGTATTTAATTCCGTGATTTACGTGGTTCATCGAGACGTATTTCGATAATGAATTGAACGATCGAGTGATTCTGTTGAAGCTGTGAGTTGTCAATAATTGTTTAATTGTAAGCACAAGGCACACTGCATTTTAAATTGGAAAAAAGTATGCATCTATCCTAACGAAAGAGACTACTAACAGTGTTGAATTTTTATCGTAGCAGAAGTTCTAAAATTTTTAATTACAAACGTTTGATCATCTTTTCTATGTTTTGGAGAAGTTGCAAAAACTTTTTCCGACCAAGCCCTCGCAAAATAAAATGCGCCACTGCTTATTAGCGTTAGATAGTATTAGCCCTTACGTTAATATTTCCATTATCAATTGGAATTCTTTATTCATTCTCGTGTTCTTTTCAAACAGAACTCTAGAAGTATCTTAATGACCCTTATTATAAAAACGATCGTAGGTGTTGTAGTTATTGTATTGGCAATAGAAAGTTCCTTACGTATAATTTGTCATAACTTGTAAAATATTTACAAACTGGTACGCGGCGTTTGAAAGATTAATGCACGGGTTAAAAAAAAAGAGATTCCTCCAAGGGTATAGTTTTAAGCGTCCATCCGGATGAAACGATCGTACACGATGAGTTACCAATATTCCTTGTTTTATTCGCGATCACATTTTCGCTACAAAGTTACCATCTTCCATTCTAACGAAGGATGAAGAGAAAAAAGAATGATGTCTCACGTAGCGGTGGACTCGATTGATGAGAACATTTTAACCAAGAGGAAAGCGCAGTGATAATCTATTAAAAGATGAGATAAGTGTAAGTGTAAGCGCGCGCGGGTATATTTAAATTAAGTAGCGATAGTCGATGGAAGAAACTACCTTTAGCGTTCAAACGCGAGGGAAATCAATAGTACCATTTATGCTAAGTCGTACAAGATTATCGGAAGTTTATATATACATGCATACATACACGTACGCACACAACACACACACATACACATACACAATCTCTGTATATCGTAAACGTTCGTATACAGATTATACGTGTGTCGATGTTTTTCCCGATCGTTTAACCCTGCAGTGGTCGCGTCTATAAATGTAACGTAAGCGGTCGCGTGGATGATGAGCATTATCCATTTTAAAAAGAACTGTGCGTCTTTAATATACCCGACTTGCCGAAGATATATGTTGTTAGGTTGGCAATTAATTCGTTCGATTATGTAGACGTATGCACTTATTAGCATATTTAGGATTTTATTTAAGCTGGGCCAAGTCTTCTGGTTTCCTGTATATTCTATATCTTTTAGAAATTTAAGTTTCAGAATCTGGAAATGACTAAAAATACAGTGAGCCATCACTTACAAGAAAAATCGCGAATTTAGTTACCAACCTAACACATTAGATTTTTGCACGTGATTTTTTCCATATGTGAAGTACACAAATACATATTACTAGTTTTTGAATATGGATGATTAATGTCATCCGCGCGACCACTCTAGGGTTAAAAATCACGACAATGCATCGCTTACGTTCGCGACATCAACGAGTACGATTTGTCGCAAGCGTGTAACTTTATAAGATACTCGACAGGCGATACGTGGTTGTGAATTATTTTTCAAGCGCTTGCAGTCGAGAGCGAAACATTTCCGAACGATCGTTTGTTAATTGTCGTTCGAATAAACATCTCTGGTCTCTCGACGAATTCCTTCTTCCGTTGCACGAGAAACTTTGAAAAATTTCTTGTCAAACTCGTGTCACACGATGCATTTCCCTTAAATATTTTTTCTGCGCGGGTAATCGCGCATTCGCTCAGGACGAACACGGTTTCGTCCTCTTCCTATATTCCTGTAATGTACAGGGTGCGGCGAAATTGGTATTAGTGCGGTGTGATGATAGTTAACAGTATTTTACGAAGATCTATATGTACTACAAAAGCAAAATGTGAGCGCGTGTCTGTGTGCGTGAAAGAGAGAGCGAGACTAAATTTCTACATCCCTAGATCCTTAACATCCCCGTAACACTATATCCTTAAATCTCCTACAATTTAAGTTGCTTTCGTCTCGAGCTTTGTTTTATCGGAATTAAAATTTTTTAATATATCACTTATAATTAAACGACTAAAATAAAAATCCTCGAAGGTTTACTATCCTATTTCCTTCCTTCTTAAGGGAAGAGGAAGAAATTAAAAAATTAACACGTCTAACGAAGCATAAACTTTTGAAACACGAAATGATCATACGTCGACTTGTTCGTGTAAAAAAGAAAGCCGAACAAAAGAAATTGGTTCCACAATCTCAACCTATCATCATCTCTCTCGTATCAATAAATTCCGTCGCATCCTGTATACGAACAGCGTGCGCGAATTATGTATATTACACACGTACCTAACGTATAAGTATAAAGGAAAAGAAGCTAGATTCCGAGGACAGATATTATATTCATGTTGATATATTATGTGTTGTTGCTGTTGATGTTGTTAACGGTAGATTAGCGAAAAAAGTGGCAGTACTAGCGTATAGTCGTTGTTTCGTAGAGCTAACGGCGAGGACTAGCATTTGCGTTACCTGTACGCGACGCGTGGTCGTGGAAATCGATTGCCAAAAAAAAAGAAATAACAAAAATCGATTGCGTGCGAATATTAGCGTGTACTTCTTGCGTATTACGCGAAAAGAGTACACGCGTGCGTGTAAAAGAGTACACGCGTGCGTGTAAAAGAAACAGTTATAAGTCGTAGATATAGTTTTATGAAAACGGCCTATCGACGATCGTGACGGTCTGGCGTCGCTCACGTTCCTTTCGAAATTCAATTGCCCGCCGATCTTCTCGTCACGAGCAGAGCTTTTGAACCGATATTCTCGGGTTTTAACGATCTCCTGTTTTCTACACCGATAGTTTGCGCTGTCGCGAATTTTCAGGCATACGGTTCGGAACGCGGACATCAAATAGTTTAGATCTCGCCGATATTTCGTTGATTGTACGTGTAAAAATATTGTCTAACAGATGCATATTCTTCTAACGTATAGAGAGACATTCGTTATAGAGCGTGCAGGAATTCGTTAAAATCCGAGGACTTTCTTCGTCAAAACCATGATCCGTCTTCGCGAAGACTTTTCGTCGCTGAGGCGAGTAAAATTGTCAACTTACGTAAACGATCGCGGTTAGAGTCGCGAGATAGATCATTTTCTACCATGAATCTCTTCGGCATCCGTGCGAAACAAGGTTCTTTTTTAACAACGATTCTTCGTACCTGACTCGATTCTTCTGTCGGTCCAACGTTGTACCTCGGTGGGCTCTTTTTCTAAACAAGAAATACACGTAAACGAGCACGCGAGAGCGGCAGAGCTTCTTCGCTCCTTCAGATCGTCAAGTCTGTCAATTCTTCGATGCTTCGAATACTTCTTCGATGTTTCAATGTGATTTTCATTCTCCGTCGAATTCGTTTCTGTACCTATCTTATACTGGTCGTCGTTTTTTCGTCCGAACGTGTTCTCTTTCGGTTCCGAGACGGTGCCATTTTCATTCTACGATCGACCGACCGCTTCCGTGTCGTTTCTTCTTTCTACGAGCGTTCCTCCGATTTTGCTCAATCACTCCCGTTTCCGTTGCAACGAGAGTCGAGTCGACATCTATTTCTATCGATTTTATTGTTGCGTCGTAGGCCTTTAAGTCTTGCCAATTGTTCAAGATTCTCTTGCCTTCCGATCGAAACTAATTCTCGATCGTCCAACGCGAGGACACTAAACAGTGATCTCCTCTCCTTCAGATATTTCAACAGTCGGCCGTCATATTTCAATTGTATTTATTCCATATTTTTATGTTACTTTTCGTCGTCGATAATAATTTGAACCGGAACGATCAGATACATTTGCAATAAACATTGTACTTGGTTATCGTTCTCGTTTACGTATGAATGTCCGGTAATAAGAAGCAAAGGGATGGGGTGTGACATCGATCGACTCGCGAAATATTTGCAAACGATTAACGGAACACGTTTTCCTTGTGCAAATTAGAACGACACGCGGTGTGTGTCGCGGACAGTTTGTTTTCCCTCGGCTTCCAACACGGTCGATTCCTTCCTCGGTTACTGTCACGCAACGCACCGAGAAAATTGAGGGTTTCGTCCTTTCGTTGTCCACGAGCTTCTACCACGCTCTCGCTCCCTACGCTCCCTTCGCTCGTGAACGGTTATTGTTAATTGCCCGTACAAAAAACCGTGCGTACCTATTAACCGTAATTTACGAGTCGCTTCCACATTAGATCCCGCCGACCGGAGGGATTACTCGTTGTAACGTTCCTTTCAAGATTTTTCGCCGATACATATTTTAAGCTACTTTATGCGCGTCTCAACGCTGTTCTCGTCAATTGATTTAGCGTAGCAATTTCATTTTCTACAAGAAGTTACTCTTTCGTTATTCTTCGTTACATACAGAGTGATTCGAAACGAATATAACAGAAACCTGGACTGCTAGGAAATTTTTGTTGCTGCGCACAAAAAATTCTCATAGACCTCCTCTCTTCGATATTGGTTGCATTTTATTTGCTTCGCCAGCGATGTAATTCGGCACAGTTTCTTGTAGGTTTTTTTTACTATCTGTATAACGATCTTTCAAAATTAATTTACATGGAGTGACACATAATTTCGGGGGTGAAAGAGAATAAAATTTCGAACTAGAAGTTCCTTTTAAAATAACATTAACTCTTAATAACTCGATACGTAACGATATCACTGAGCCAAAATGGGAAGAGGAACGTTTGATTTGAAGTTCTACTAGCTGGGAACGTAACGGTATACGCGTATCGACACGCCAATTTTAATCGAAACTTATATCTGTGATTCATTGAATTTCTCACTAACGAAATCTGCATTCGTTGTACAGTAATTTCGCACATGCTCGTTCGATCTTACGAACGAAACGACGGAGGTCAATTTCGCAGAATCTCAATGGCATCTTATTTGGTGAAAAATGGATTCGCATGGTTATATATTTTCTTTTGATTTTCGTGTTTGTTTATTGCGAGAATGCGTGTATGCATGAACGTATGTCGACGTGTCCTCACGGTGTTTCTTCGAGAGACACGATGCACACCCTCCTCCAAAAGCTCGTCCTCCGTTGTCGCAAATTGATTGCGAGTCCGCACAGATCTTCCGTAACGATAAGGATTTTTTGAGCCGTTTTTTATACGTGTACACCTCGCCTTTTCTTCCTGATCGGGTGGTCAACGACTCCCGAGCCACAACTCGTTCCCACGATCGGACTGTTTTTTCTCGACATTTCGGAATATTTATTCGATTTCGACGCATTTACATTATTTTTTTTCCTGCTTGGACAGCTACGTGTTTTAGGTGTATCGTTCTTCGATTTAGGAAAGACGTAGTAGCCTCGAATTACGAAGGTTCCGTGCGCGAGACGACGCTTTCGTTGTTGCTTCTGTTCCTCGTGGAACGAGAGTTTTCGAAACGCGTTACGATCTCGAGTTGCTTCCATTTTAGGGTTTCGGTACCGCTTTCGTCGACGGATCGTAGCATTTAGCGTTCTTTGCCCGAAACTAAGAAGAATATCCTCGGAACTGGTCGAATTATTTAAACTTCCGTTATCCTTTTGAGGAAAAAAGGGACAACCTAGTCGTCGAGATATTCTTCTCGTTTCGGTGTCGCGATTCGGTTGCTCGGACCTCGAAGAAACGTCAGGGTACCGAAACAATCGATGTCGATCGGTTTTCAACCGATTTTGGGTGTACTTTTTTAGGCAAAAGCGTTATAGAAAATATTGTTACTCCCTGTTACGAATAAGCAGCACGAATTAAAGGAAAAAATAACGAGACCCAGTTATCATACCCGTATCGACGATATATGAGTTTTAACGATATTCTATAAATGGCTGTACCGTATTGTAAAATCAAAGATATAGTGTACAATAAAGTTTAGTGTTGTAGACACGTTTTGCTGTTATTTTACCCTGAATTCCCTATTATTGAATCGCGATCCTTGAGCGGGTAACTATGGATAAAAAAATGAATAAAATGAACGGTCAAAATCTTTTATTACAGAACGATAACAATTCTTTTTTCAAAGTATAATAAAATTTCTGTTTGTTCGCTCGATCGCGTCAGGCGAATGAAATTCCTCAGCATGTATCCATGGGTTTTTGTATATACGCCACGAGAATGTGATACCTGTCCAAGATACTGTACTCCTGTCCGCCGTTGTCGGTTTTGTTCGAAAACAGAATCTTACGATTGGCTACTTCGCGCACCATCGCGTCCTCGAACTCCTGCTTCAGGTGGTCAGGGATTCGCGAGATGAACGGATTAACGGCTATCGTATGATCTGAAATAAACGTTGTTGAATTATGCATTAGATATTAAGATCGTATATTACTAGACGTTGCTGTACTTAGTACAATAATGCTGTACTTTTTAATATTTGCATGTTCTGGTAAACGAAGCTCTTTTCTCTTTTGCTGCAGTGCAGAATCTTGAAGCCGATGCTTTCCAGCATCTTCCTGAGGGCTGCCCGCGAGTCCTTGTATCGTTGGAAAAAGGGGATGAAGCGATCCGCGTCCTGAAAAGAAAAATACGAACGAGAGCGTTGGACGATCGCGATGCAATAGGTAGACATTCGCTTGTCGTGCAACCTCCATGTACGGTTTGTATCGAGGATTTTCGTGCAGCTTCGTGTAAGCGTCGAACCCGTTGTTCCAAGCTAGGAACATGATCAGTGCCTTCCCTCCTGGTCGCAACAGCTTGTACACGTTCTCGAAAGCTCGCCTAAATTCGACGCGATAATCAGCGTAATATTATAAAGGCGATTTAGAATTTGTTAAACGATATTTTACTTTCGAATAAAAATCACGACGATAAATACCAAGTATTGTGGCACCAATGGAAACAATAAAACGATAACGCATTGCTGTATCGTCCAATCGCTTCGTTAGGCAAAACGGTGGCTTCGATATCCAACTGCAAGAACAATAAGCGTTTCTCGTCGCGGTACTTTTGCCTCGCGTGCTCGATCATCGCTTTCGATATGTCTGCCCCTACAACGAATATCACGGAAATCAATTTCTAACACTCGTGTCCGATCATGCTTAGGCTACTTTTGTTCTCTTACCAACTAATTCTGCATCCTGCGACAATCTCGGAAGAATCAGCCGTTTGGTTACGTCTCCGGGTCCGCACCCGATGTCTATGCACACGCCTTTCATCTCCGACATCTCTTTCTCGAATTCTTCTATTATGTCGAGAGCATCGAGAAACTGGGGCTTGCTAGCGTTCACGTATTCCTCGACCATGTTCATGTTCGATCCGTTCTTCGATCACTAGGGTCGCTCGATCTCAAACACGTTTGAACCAATCGTAAGAAGTTTGTGAACTGAAGACGATTTATCCCCGAAAGGAAAAAAGACGACGCTTCGAGCAAAGTACGAACTATCGACTCAATACGCAGTCAGATCTTTTCCTGGTGACTTTTCGACCCGACTTTGGTATTCAATTCGGTGACTCTCGCATACAGTTCCCCCGTTTTTCTATTTCATTCTATTTTTTCTTCTTTTCTTCGGCTCCGCTCTCCGCGCTTCTTTTTCTTCCTGTTCTGTCTCCGTCCAGCCCGTACCTACCTCAATATCCGAATTCTTCGGAGCTCGCAGCTCGTTCCAGCACCTTCACGAACTCGATGGTCACGTTCGGAAGTTCATTGACCTGCTGTTGCTCGACGAACGCGTTCGAGCAGCAAGGGCCATTATCCGATTTTTGCTTTCGATGCTCATTCATCGACATCTTTCTTTGCTCGTCGATTGTCTCTCGCGCGTATTTAACGATTGTCAAATTTAATTTTCGTTATCATTCGAGCGATATCGACATCCAGATGTTTATCAAACGGTCAGATATATGTCTCCGATCGATACTATCGAGGTTTTTTAATCGGTGAAAAATTCGCGAGTGTTTATCGTAGCGAGGTCGCAGCACACCGGATACTGGGGAACGGTTGCTTAGAATTTTAGTAAGGAAGGTCCGGGCCATATTGAATAAGAGTGTAGGGACTAGGTGGTTCCGAGACGAAAGGGGAAGTCGTCGCGGCCAGTTTGCCAGCCGATTGATCCTTCGGTACAGGTCCGATTTTTACCGAGTGCTCACGAAGGGTTCCATAGTAAAACTCGCGCGAGTAGCTGTCGAGAGTATTTCGTGCGAGTGAGTATTGCGCCGATAGCTACTCGTCCGAGAGCGACCCGTAGCAGTCTCGTTCATATCGATAAATGTAGCCCATGAAAGGAAAGAAGGCATCGCTGATCGATCGAGGGAACAGATCGGTAGAAACATCGCGCTCCAGTTTAATTCATTAATTACGGTAAGCAGAGAAAGGGGCGCGGATACGTCCTATAAAAATAACAATGACACGCGCACGATAAATAGAATACACGCGTCGGTATAACGAGGGCGGCTTTTAATCGAGCGAGAAATACAATGTTTGCTCGGCGAATAGACGACCGGTTCAATTTCCTAACGACGCCTTAACGATCGTCCTCCGTCGACGACAAGGAGCGGCGAAAGACGACCGCTGACATGCGGGCAAATATTTGCGGGACAGAGGTACGAACGTACCAACGCTACAGGTAAGGTATCGAGATACATGCATCTTCGTTCGAGAGTAGCTTCACGACGCTTTTATGTCGTACTCGTGTTCCATTTTTGATGTTTTCAAATTGTTTCTTACTCCCTGTTAATCAGTCATTTCGCATCGAGAACATTAATAACCATACTTAGCAAACGCTATACTTCCCATTGAAGTGGAATAAGCGTTATTTTACGGTTCTTTTATGTTATCGAATCGCATCAGACTGTAAAGATTTCTGTCACAAACTGTCTCGTCCGATCGATTCTCCTAGCTCCAGCTTTGGAGTACTTGATTCTTGCTTCGGATACGTCGAGGCTCTTCTCTGCTTCGTCTTTCGATAAAATTTAAAGTCCGTCGTCGATATCGCGTCATCCGCAGCCGCATGCGGTGACGAATCGTAACGACATATCGACAAACGTAGACGAACGACGAAGATGAATGGTGGAGGCGTTCATTGAGATGCAGAAATCGTCCGCGGTAGCGGCGTCCTTGATCTCGAGGTCGCGTAAATAACACGCGTCGCGAAATACGTTACAATAAGCTTCCGGGAAAATCGGCACGGAAGATACCCTCGACGTAACTCGAAAGCGAGCTGACTGGCCTCGTAGGAAATATTTATGAAAGTCAGCGTGGGTTGACCCGATTTGCTGACCTCGTCGTCTTTCTTTCTCTCGCCTCGTCTTTAGTTCTCTATCCTCTCTTCGAGTTACACTCGACTAACGCAATATACGAAGACAACAAAAGCTCGCGCGCCTACTTTCGAACTTTACGCAATCTAGGAACCGTGACGCGGAATCGCAGCTGCGATTACAAGGTAGATCTTTCACTTTTCCACGAGCTTCGAAATTCGCGTCTTTTTTAAAGAGTGCTAACCCCTCATAGCTTCGTTACTTTTTCTTAATGTCGAATTCGCGAACCTTAGCGAATCGAATAACCGGAGAAGCTTTCTGGGCGAACGCAAGGCAAGATTGAAGTTCGTGGGTGAAACGTTGCGAAAGGTAGCGAAATTTCTCTCGTTTCCTTGCCTAAATCCTGGTGTACGTTCGTGTGTATCGAAGGAAGGAGGCGGCGGGCGGAGAGAACGAAGGGCTTTGATAAATGACTGACGCGGAAAAAAATCCGCGTCGATACGTCTTGCTCGAGAAGATGCGCGCTTGTGGAACGAGACGGGAGGAGACGAAGCGAGGAAGAGAGAGAAAGAGAGCGAGGGATTTCAAGAGGAAGAGTAGATTTCGAGCTAAAGCATGCTCCAACTCTGCTTTTACTTTCTTGCCCATCTGCTAATTAAATTTTCTTCTTAAACGATAACCGATATCGAGCAAACGTTATCTCGAGATCCGACGCTATCGTAACAACCAATCAGAAATGCAACGAGCAGTCGAAAGCGTTTACTCGAATTCTTTACGAACGCTTGATGCAACGCGCAAAAACGCTTTCAGTCGATCTTTAAAATATATCTCGCGTACGAGCGTGTGCGCGTGTCGTAGACGATTGGTAAAGAGGTTCGATGGTCCTTCCGCGAATGCGTGCTCTATCGGAAAACACTGAGTGAGATATATGGAGAGATTATACGAGATGGCGTTTCAGAGTCGAACGGGCCGCTATTCTCCGCTCCGTCAATTATGCTAATTTCGATTGCCGCGAGATTAATGGAAGAAGGCGGCGTCCCCTTCGTATACTCGCTTCTTGGAGGCCCGAGACGCCACGGACCTGACGTTTCTTCCGCATTCGACCGACCGTGTATAATGTAGCAGACTCGTAATTATTGCGGGTTACACGATGACCTTTCCTATCCGAAGCTGCGAATCGATTTTTCCTTTCGATCGAACGAGTTCGCGAATCACGACCGATCGACGTTTGCATACGTCCATCAAATTTCACTCGCGTAACAACAATATATTCAGGTGGTTTTTTTCGATCTTTGTCTGCGCGATGGCGGACGAGCCGATATTAGTGCGAAAAATTAGTGCGATATTAGTTGCGTCGTCGCGATTGTGTGGTCCACGTCTCCGTGCATTCGTTATTCCGACGATGACGAGGAATGCACCTTCCATTGTCGACACACGCGTCATAAATACGAGCAAAGAAACATCAAGATCCCGGAATGCAAAGAGGACAACGTAACAGGATCCATTAACCTAAAGAAGAAGAAGTTTGACGCTCGCATCGACAATACATGTCTTTCGATATGCATCTGACGTACGTGACCTCTTTTCTTTCGCGATATTCCGATTGTTCGAAGGTCGTGCTGTTCTTGGCAACGCATTGTCGACGACCGAGACCTTTCGATTCTTCTCTGAACACGGTTTAGGAATTTGGAATTTCGATTCCAAGGAAAGAAAGCTGGCGTTACGTGGTCGGAGGAAGGCGAAACTGAATGTCCAGACTGAAAGGAACGATTTTCGGTTGAAGGGTCGGGTCGGAACCCTTCCCCGGTGCGAAAATATTAACGGACAAACGGCGAGCTCCTTCTATGCACGCCTCTCCTTCGAGGAAAGTATGAAAATCCATACAGTCGCTCGGAGAAAATATCCGTCATTTAAAATGGATGGATTTAGGTGGATATAAAAGTGAGGGGTGGAAGAAACCGGTGGCAGCAACGAAGGGAGGTCGGTCATGGGAGGTTGGGTGAGGTTGAAGGCGACTACTGAAAGTCGGTAGCCTCGGTGGGAGGTGGAGACCGAGATGGTGGTGGTGGTGATGGTGGTGGTTGCCGGTGGTGTTGGAGATTTAAGGGAGACATTTTAAATGGATGGTGCTCTCGCAGAAGCCGGCTGCCTCTGGTATTATCCAATACCGTGGCTCGTCTCGCGGCCCCGCAAGAATTCGCGAGTATACGAACGAAGAACGTCCCACCACCAACAATTTACGTCTTCGTGTTATATTTTTTTGCCATCTCGAATCTCTTTTTATCGAAAATAAAATAATAACAATTTCAAAATCCTATCGAACGGATAGCTAAAAGTTAAACGAAGTTTCTGCGTCTCTCGGGCTCCTCGTAATTTTGATAAATTAACCCGAGAAATTTCGCACCGATATTCATAGGAGGAGCGAATACCTATTCCGATCTTGAGCCATGCGTTGACAATAATTGAACATTTAAATCTCGAATGAATTTTGAAGTTTTCTACGTATTTGCATACACTTTTCGGATAAATGTTGAGAGAAGGAAGCGGTTAATTATAAAACAAACACAAAGAAAGAAAACGGTACTTTCTCTCGAAAGATTTTCCAAGCAAGGCAAACTCGTTAAAGCTGAAAGAATCTCGCGTCGAGAAGTTCTTATCGTCTACGAGCCGCGCAGATATCGTAGCTGCGAATAAAAATATCCGCGCTCGTTTCTTGTCTTTAAAGCTCGCACCTTTCGGTTCGCTTGTATCGCTTTGTATCTCGGACGAAGATAGTGCTACATCTCTTTAAGAAGACTCTGTTTTAGGATCGATAGGGAACGCAATCGCATTCAACACCTCCGACATCTTTCTCTCTACCTATTTTCGCGTTTAAAAAAATCGTCCATGGTAACCACGATCGTCCATCTTCCTCTTACCAGGAGAACCATTTCCCCGCAATTGCTCCTCGTAAAGTGTCCTGGAATCTATGAAAATGAATTTTCAAGGAACGCCTCGAATTCGTTACAAGTTGCGGCATCATTCGACTTTTCTTTCCTATAAATCCGAGTTCGACTCGCAAACGTAAACGATATAGGTACTTCGAACGAGCGGCTGCACGCGCTCTAAACGTTTCCGATGCATCGGTCCGACATATATCGCGCCTCTACTACTCCGTTTTTCGGTATCGCAGCATCTCGTCAGTGTCAGTCGAAACGAGGCTAGGTGCAGGTGCAAACGCTAATGCGTTTTTGCTCCTCCTCTCGACGCCGGGCGTCGTCGTGAAGGAACGTTTTCCTTCCGAAGGAAAAACGGACAGTCGACCAATGAAACCGAGGCGAGCTATTCGCGAACCAATCGTCGAGTTTCCAGCATTCGGATGTGACTGCGCGAACAGGTGTGGCGAAAGGGACCGCGAGAGCGATAGAAAAGAGAGACGAGGGAGAGAGAGAGGGGAGAACAGAGCGAAGCCGATTCTCCCGTCGAGAGGGTGGATATAAAGCGTACGGATGAGCAGACGAAACCGGGAGTAGTCCTGCGCGAGTTGGGGAGTTTCCCGAATTCGTTTCACGGACCGGAAGTCGGTGTCGTATTTGCGCTTTCCATTGGGTTTCCGAGTGTCGTCGGGGCCAATGGCACGACGAATGCCGACTGTCGGTGCCGCGATGCGGATTCTAGAGGGGTTGGTTACGCCCCACGCTCTACCTATACATCGAATGAAACGGCCAGAGAGAGGAACGGAGGAACTCTGGATAGAGAGAGAGCAAGAGGAAGTCGGGAGAAGAGAGTTGGACAGAGACGAGCCGATACTATTCCTCCATTCTCTCTGACTATCTCTGTATTTGCGAGGGAAAGAGGGAGTTTCTCCCTCTCGGAGTCTTTGTCCGTGTACGTTACGGTGAATGTACAGGGTGTTCCTTAATACGTTACACCCGCTTCGACGATTAATTTCACAAGTTTGGCACACGATCTTCTTATTCGTAGAAACAATTGCACCGACTCGTACAGAATCATGGTTCGACGTTCGTATCTATAAAAGATATCGAGCGTTGCATGCAAACATAACAGAATATTACGTGTTAAATAAAACCTGAAGAAGCGGATGGACATAAATGTAATCAGACATGGCAAAAACGGACAAGGGTGGAACGGAACGTATATTTGCAGGAACTGTCGTCATTGACAAAAGTATTGGAACTGATCTGCGACGAAGATGGCACATAATACGGGACACCCTGTATGTACGAGGACGTCTGTGCACCGCGAAGAGGTCGAGAGAGATCCGGGAGGAAAATGAGGACGGGGACAGAGAGGAGGGTACGGGAATGGCGATGAGGACGAAGACAAGGATGAGAACGAAGAGGAGGAGAGGACGAGAGCCGCCTTGCTTCGATCCGAGAAAGAGACGCAGACAGAGTCGGAGTGAGTCCTGGCTTCGATCCCACAAGGAGCTAGACACTCGGTAGCACTTAAACTCTCCTCCCTCTCTCCCTGCTCGCTGCCGCTCTTTTCCCTCCTCCACCCTGCAATCTGCCTTCCGCTACCCTCTCTCTACTACTTTATCCGTTCCATCCCTCTTGGTCGCGCCGCTATCTTCTCGATGCTCGTTGCACACTCGTCCCTTACCATTTTCCTATTTTTTTCACCTTACTCTTCTACTTTCGTTATCCTCCGTGCTTCGTTCCCTTCTTGCTGGGCTCTTCTTAGTTCAACAGAGAAAATCGAAGAAATAAAAAAGTTTGGAAACGTACTCGCTCTTGATCTTGCTACTTTTTACGGTTGAAAATTCCTATGGTATTTGTACTACGAATATGTTCTATGTACAGGGTAATTCTGAATGAAATTGTCTCGCAGGTGAGACGACTAGTCTCACATATTACAAATATATTTGAATTTTCAGTCACGGTAGAATTCTGAAAGATACCGAACAGTCGGGCAATTAAGAAAGTTATCTAAAGGTTACAAAAATTGTACACGAATTATGTAATCATTGTGGAAAAGTTGTAAGCAAAGAAAAAAAGTGAATTCTTTGCTTTAAAATGTTCGAAACGTGTGACTAGACAGCACAAATATTTGTTATATCGGTTAAATTGCTGATATATTAATTATACGTCGAAAACTGGGTCATTACTTCTCGACTTATTCTAAGGAAAAGCGTTCCCTTCGATAACATATTTGAAGGTCAAGGCGATAGAAGGTGGTTTCTTCTTTAGCAAATATTTTTAGTCCGTATACTCCTAGATCCCTATGCCCTTATATATTTAATCATAATAAAACAAAGCATTCGGCATTGACTGTAAGGATTTGGAAGTCGAAAGAAATGTATCGGTATCGTAGGCGAGATCGTTTCAGATGGATTTTAGTAGACGACGAAGGGGACACGATTAACGTGTTCGTTACGGTTAATCGCGTGGGCCGTTTATTTTTATAAGTCAAGGTTAACCGTAACACCTGTACACGGCAGTCGACCATACCACGGATAGAATCGAGAGCAATTTGGGGTTGACATTTTGCTCGCGCTCCTATAACCGTAGAGCGCGACGCGTCGCGTCGCTCCGCGCCGTTAAAAACGAGCTAATTGGTTTCATCAAAGCGCTCTTCGTGT